TGGCACCAGAGCTGCTTAGAGGTATGATGTTGGTGAATAGTGAAAAGTAACTGATAAACACAGCTCACCTACATTTTAGGATATTTGGTTTTACTTAGGACAATACTGAAATCGTTTTCGAATTGTGAAGAAGAGCATTTCTTGAGAATGCCTATTTTATCAACAATTACAACTGATCAAATTTGAATTCTGGATAATATTCAAAGTCCATGAGATGATACAAAATTTAGGCACATAAAAGAAATGAATTTTAGGATTACTGTTGTCGCAATAGTCTATTGAATAGAACATAAAAAATTATAAACAGAAAGTTAAAATGAACACCCAAGCAAACTCTAGGCAAGATACTCTCTGAAAATCTTTCTCATTGCTTGAATTACACACACATAAAATATATTTTTGTTCTTGTCTAAAAAACTACCATCTGTATCTCTTCTACACAATCCAAGAATTAAGAGAGCTGAATGTTTTATATGCCATATAACTTATATAAAGCTATTATGAAATTTTTTGAAATTTCTGTTTGTGCTAATAAACTTTTAACTAAGCTTCATTGCTTCTTTAATATATTATTACGTATACATGACAAAGGTGAAAAAAGATATACATAAGCACATTTGTTTTAAAATTGGGGAATAGAAGGAAAACAGCAATTAATACTAAATTTTGTAGGCTCTCTATGCATTTAACAACCTCATACTCCAAATACTGTTTTTCCTTTAAAAATAATTTTATAAAAACAGCTGCTATGTAGAAGATAAAAATGAATATTAGTCACTCTGTAATACAAATGTCCTACAGAGATCAGGTGAAATCATCCTTTGTATATCTTCCTACTGTTCTTTTTTTTTTTTTTTTTTTTTTTTTTTTTTTTTTTTTTTTTTTTTTTTTTTTTTTTTTTTTTTTTTTTTTTTTTTTTTTTCTTGATACGGAGTTTCACTCTTGTTGCCCAGGCTGGAGTGCAATGGCCCTATCTCGGCTCACCGCAACCTCCGCCTCCTGGGTTCAAGCAATTCTCCTGCCTCAGCCTCCCAAGTAGCTGGGACTACAGGCATGTGCCACTATGCCCAGCTAATTTTTGCATTTTTAGTAGAGACAGGGTTTCACCATGTTGACCAGGATGGTCTCAATCTCTTGACCTCATGATCCACCCACCTTGGCCTCCTAAAGTGCTGGGATTATAGGTGTGAGCCACCGCGCCCAGCCCCTGCTGTTCTTATAGTGCCTGGTACATTACATGAGAGAGAGGAGGCGCTCAATCTACATCTTCACCTTGATTCACAAAAGCAAGGCTGCTTCTAGAAGATAATTCCACGTAATTCTCAGATATAGTAAGTTCAATACTACCAAAGCAAGACCTCTTCTGAGTTTAGTTAATCAAACTCTACCTCTGAAACTTTGTACTGATATCTGACTGGATTAGGCAGGACTTCCCTCAGCCCCTTATCATTCTTCAGTTCTTTAAAAGCAGCATGAAGATAAGGAAAGTAGCACTGTATATTTCTGATTTGTTAGCAAAATTGCTACTGTGGTGTGTAGGGAAGCATAATGACAAAAATACAAGAAGAATGCTCTGACCTCAGAAAATAATACATTTTAAGTCCTACTTTCCTACTGGTAAAGACCTTTATTTCTCCTGGAGAAATTTACTTTGATTTTTCAAATGTTTAAAGTTGCTTGATAATTTAAGGTCAAAGTCACATTTCTAAATATGCCTGAAGGGGTTTAGCACTTAAACTAGCTAGCTCTATTCTGTGACATAGTCCAAACAAGATGAAGGATAAACTTAGTTGTGGGGGCTATTTTTTTTGTTTGTTTCCTTTCTATTTGTATCATCTACAAACTACAAACTAGTTAGTAACTCAAGAGTTTGCTATTTTTTAATCTTTGTTGCTGAAAAGGTATTTTTAAATGAATCTATTATGCTATTAAAATACATGCCCATCCTTATATAAGTCAAAGCATAATTATAGTTTTGTATAATTAGAGTTTTATGTCAAAAGATTTACAGCTTTATCACCTCAAGCAATATTTCACAGCTGCCAAGGATGATTTATGCAATAATGACTTAAACTGTAAAATAGAATCCTCAAAGGAAGAGCTGTCAAATATTCCTACCGCAAATAACTAGGTTTTTAAAAATTGATATTCTGATAAACAGCGAGTTTAATTGTACCTAGCACAATCACATACAGGAGCATAGTAGGAAGTGTTATTTCAAAATGACAATCATGCCATTCACCATGAACTGCATCAATGTGAATTCATTGCATAGATCACGGGTTTAAATTGCTTATAAAGCCTCTGGGCCATGTTAGTGAACAAGCTTTCCAAAATAATGCCTCAGTGATATTTTTACTCCTCCGGTAAGAGCAAATGGAAGAAATGGAAACAGAATGTATCAATGTTCTGTCGATTTGTTCATTGGGCTTATTACATCATTCTTCATATTCTTGTGAAATGCTAAATAAAGAATAAGCCAAAGAAGGATTTACTGTATACAGTTAAGAAATCAAGAAACTCTCAAAAGTCGTGGCATCAATAGCAAAGAATTAAGGAAACTTTGAGAAACAAATCAACAAAAATGTTGGTGATTTTCACCCTTCCTGCTTTTATAAATGTAGCGTAGCTGGCAGTAGTCATATCTCTAAGCAGTAAGACTATCCAAGAATTTTACCTCATAAGCTCTAACTGATTTTGCAGTTGTCATATAAATAATCCCAAGACACAGTGAAAATTCTATTCAAGGTATTTGAACTGGTAGCTAAAACACAAATTTATTACATGCAAAGCAAATAAGTATGATTGTGTCTTCACTATCTAAAAAAGTCATTCAAATTAATATTTTTATTTGGAAGAAAAGAAAATGCTTAGCCCATCAGCTCATGTTTTCCATATCAATTAAAGCAAAATGGGTAGATTTTATTGTTAATGCTAAAGATACTCAAGTCCTTGAAGATTGAGTTACATCTGAAAATGAAGTCAACAGAATCAAAATTTTTACCAAAGATTAATTTTTCAGACCTAAACAAGCTTCCAAACCAAAAATCCTTTACTGAAAAAAGAGGCGTTTTAATTCATATAACCAAGAAAATCATTCAAACAAAAAGATTTGTATTTGTCAATGTACTAACATGTTTAATACAGAAGATTCAACAATTTAAGAGGAATTAATCATGCTTGTGATTCCTATTAAATTGCTGTTTTAAGGTGTTTTGAGACCATTTTACACACTCCCATTGCACAACTTTCAAAACATCATCATACCACTTGTGGTACAATAGATAACTGCTACTTGAAAACACTCTGAAAGATATACCTAATCTGAGCAATTTGGGCAATCCAGATTAATGTCATACTTAAATTCTATGAGTTGTAAAAAACCATGAAATGGTCTAGAAAACATAATGACCAAATATGGACCAACACGCACTCAAGTTGCCACAATATAGACTGTGTTGACGTCATAATAAATATTCAATAAGAAAAAATATCAGACATTCAAATTATTACAAACATCCAGATTGTTGGCATCAGATACTCAAAAGACATGAGTTGCATTTGGGTAGTGAGAGCTCAATCCAACAAATGTTTTCAAGACAAGAGAGCAATTAGGCTATTTCTAGTATGCCGACACTACTGATAGAAAAGTAAGAGAAATGTGGGAAGAACTTTAAAAACAATTTCTATCTGTTTGATAACTATACAATTGCTTTTATTACAGATTATTACAAAGTTATACAAACCTGTTTTTCCAGTAATGTTTTGTAACCACTGAAGTTCATGTTAAGGAAATGTAGTAATTAAGAATTGTACATTGTACTTTGAATTATAAGAAAATAAGAGTAAGAGTTAAACATTTTCCCTGCTGTCTTTTTTTCTCTGTAGTTTACAAAATGATGAGTCATTATATGATATAAGCTATGGCACATTACATATTTATAAAAAACTTAAGAGTTTTCTAAAAATCTGAACAGATACCCCTCTGCCTTACTAATTTCTGTTAGTGGGATAAAAAGAAATAGGTGAAGATAAAATATCAACAAAATTAACTATAACATGAAAGTTATAAAAATAATTTTACCTTTAAGCCCTAAATTGTCAAATATCTTTATAGATATAGATATAGATATTTGGGAATATATATACCTTAAAATGGGCATATCTGAGCATTTATACATGTGAGTTCATTTACATATATATTGAGTATTTAAGACATGCCTATATATTACATGTGTAATTTTTTAAGAGAGCTGTTATGTCTAACTCTTATTGCTCTCATAGCAAGTTTGACCGAAGGAGGTGTTGCCCTTGAAGTTGAGGTATGACCTTAAGTTTAAGGTGCCAGTTTTGCTGTAGTTATAAAATGAATACTAATAACTCCACAGTATCATAATTTTTTTCTACATTTCTTATTTTAAAACAAATTATGACTACATAAACAGCCTTTATTATTTGATATGAACAGGTTAATTGGATCAATGTAAAACTTCCTATTTATTATCCTTAATCTTATATAAGAAGGAGCAAAAGAAACAAGAGGTATTGCCTTTCAACTAAATCTAAAGACCCAAGAGACATAACTAATAGTTTTAGATATAGTTTTCAACATGAATTTGCTTTATGGAGTATTTTAAAGTTAAAACAAATAACACTGTATTTTTCACCTACCAAATGCATACCAATACAAGCAGTAAATTGTTGATCTTTCTATAATTCTGTAAAAAGAGGAGTATCTAAGACTGATTTGTAGCATTTTAACCTTAGTGACATTATGTTATTGCACTTTTGAACAATTCACAGTATCCTTATTCAAAGAAGAAATTGTTTCTACCTGACCCCTCATCAGAGTACCCATATCTGTTGGATCCCCAAATACTACAAGCAAAGCACATATCTGCAATTGAACATTTTGGGATTCTCTGCATATGAACTTCCAATAGTCAAAATATCTTTTCAATGGGATCAAATGGAAAGAATTCTAAATAGATAAATTTTACCATTTTTGTGATAGTAGGTGACCTCCACTTTCCTTTCTTCTGACCCCAGCAATGCCTGGGCAATTTGGGCAATATCATGCCTCTTGGTCTCGGGGCCATGGAGAAAGTCGCAGGTGCATGGCTTTTGCATGACATCTGGCCTGGAGAAACCAGTCATCTCACAGAACCCATCGTTGCAATAGATGATGGCACAGTTCTGCACTCTGGCATTTGCAATGATAAATTTTTTATCTGTAATAGGAAAATAGTATGGCATCTTTTAAAAAGCTTCCACAATATTCTCTGTAACACTGAAGCAATTTGTTGCATAATAAGTCTGAAATGCAGGTGCACCCAAATTACTAATTGCCCCAGCCTTTATAAAAAGAAACACAAGAAATCCTGCAAAATTTAAATGTGAGATTAATTATCCTAAATAATTTTAACAGAAAATATTAAGAAACCACTCTTCAAACTGCAAGAATAGAATTTCCCAAATAGTCTAGTTTTCAAGCCCTGCAACTGCTGGGGATCTTAGTGGACACTCAGACAAGCAGCTGCCCATTGATATTTTCAGAATGTTATTTAATTGTAAGGTAAATGTTTTCAAAGTCAAACAGTGAAACATTCTGTAGTTGTCAGACCTCTCATTTCAACCTTGGCCCTTTGAATACAACTTTCTTAAAGTAGTTATTATCCTTTGGCTTCTCTCTATCTCTCTTGGGCATGTCACACACATCATGTCAAAAACGAAGACAACTAGCTTTACTAATGAAACTACTTCACATTTAATATCAGTTCAATAATGCAAAGGTTCACCTTTTCATAACATATATTTTCCGAAAGAAAAATATTTACATACACACAGTAAATATCATGATAACACCTTTTACTTTTACTTTGGGAGATCCTTGATTTTTTTGTGTGTGTAGTAGCAGGCATTTCAATACAAAGAGTTTATTAATTTTGATCACAGATTGTATTTACTATTTCCAGATAGATGGTGAAGGAAGATATACAAGTTTATTTTGTATGCGAGGTACCAGGTCCTCACATCTCTAAATGCAGTGCTGAAACAACCGCAAAATGCATGGTATACAAATGTATTAATAGAGTTTTAAGAAAAGGACGAAAATAAGTTTACAAATACAGGATCTTAAATTAATATATTTGTATACCAACAATTTATTCCCTGTAGTTAGTTCACATGACAACATTAAATTTCTGTGCATTCAGTCTTTGTGGGATTTACTTATTACACTTCATTTTTAAATTTCTAGATGGAAATTTTAAAGGGGATTAAAAAAAAGAATAGGAATATTATTTTGAATAATGAGCTATTTGCATCGGGAACCACCACAGATGAGATACTGTTTTTCCAAATTATCCTGCTGAGGATATATTTGCATTGATTCAATACAAAATTTAGCTTCTATAAACTAATAGCAAGCAAGCATCCCTGTCATACCACTGCCTTGCAGTTTAACCAAGGTAAAATATAGTTTGCATAGCCATTTACATCGCTACTACCATTTACATTATCTTGTTGAATTGTATGGTCTGCTCTGCTTCCGACTTTCAGAAAGTCTACAGTAAAACAGCCTCAAAATATAAACCCATGTTATCCTAGCACGTTCCCTTTAAGATAGTAGAATAGTAGGACATTAAGTAGCAAGGCAGATAATGGAGCAGTGGTAGAGGAGGATCAAATTGCCTCCTATAATGGAGACTGTAATCTAAAATGTAAATCAAAATTAATATCAGAAGGAGAACACTCCCGCTGCCATTCGAACCTCCTGGCTCGGTTTCACAGCCTCTTAACTTGACAGAGCCTGGAGTTGCCGGTCTCCCCAGCTTGGAAGCGGCGGACGCCAAGTGCACTATCAAAGCAGAAAGCGAGGGCGAGAGAAGAGAACAAATGAACTTACTTTGCCCTTCAAATTTCCGAATGATGGTCCCCAGAAATGTATTTTGTGGTGCCACATGCCCCCTGCGCACAGGCATGTTGGCCCCGGTCTTCCGAGGAGCGCTCCCCCGGAGCTCTGGAGTTCTCCCGGGATCTCTCCTCCGCTAGAGCCCAGGCCAGCGCGCGAGCCGCTCTTTGTGGCGGAGCATCCTCTTTTGAAACCAGAATTCTCTTCCCATTAGCACCACTTCTAGACACCCGCTTTCCCCACCGGAGTCCAATCCATTCCCCTCACCTTCCGGAGGGGGCCTCGCACCGGACTGCCGCGGGTGAGAGGGTTTGGGGGTGGGGAGCGGGAAGGAGGCGGGGTGAGGGGAGGTGGCGGGGGAGGGAAAGAGGGAGGGAGCGGTGGGGGTGGGGTGGGAAGGGGGCGGGGAGTCACAAGGGCAATCGATCTGTTTCTCTTCTCCCAAACGGCGCCAATTTCTCAGTGCAAATGGGCTTAACCTGGCGGTTGCCCAGAGCAGTGAGGATGGCTGAGAGGGGATGGAAGACTTGTGCAGCTTTTGCAGGAAGGAGAGAGGGAATAGGAGACTGGGGGTCGGGGGGGGGGGTAGTTGACGTTTCTATCCCCGCCCTCTCCCCCTAACACACACACACACAGACACACACACACACACACACACACACGCTCCCTTTATCCCGACAGCTTGGGCGCCGCCACAGCTCAGATTACTCAAGCATGCTTTAACGGAAGCCAGCCAAGAAATCTCCAAAACTCAGTGACAAACAGCTACTCGGGGAAGGTGATCTCTACAGCCACCAGCCACAGGGCTGAGCTCCTCACGCCGCAGTAGCTAAACGACCCTTAGCTGCAAGGAAAAGACAGGTGGGAAAACAGTTCCTTAATGAGGATTATTTGTAAACTCTGTTGGCGCTCAGCAGGTTGAAGATTGAGAATGAACCATCTAAGGGTGTAGATTTAGCCTCAGGGCGCAGCTCGGATCCCTGGGTTCAGCGGAGGTGGCTGCTGAAGCCCGAACTGAATTGGCACGCGGGTCCCTGCCCAGCGCTGAGCCGCGCCTCGGAAAGACTGAAAGCTGCCCGCGCCGCTGAGCATGCCCAGTTTCTGCCTGAGTCCCTGGAGGGTTGCAAGGTTGGGGGTTGATTTGGTCTCCAGGTGCCGTAGGCTGCGAGAAAGATAAGACGGCCAAAGACGAGAAGGACAAAGAGTGCGAGCGACTAGTACAAAACAAGGAAAGAGTTTGAAATAGGTGAGGCTGGGCGCCAGGGGGAACGAACAAAAGGTGGGTGGGGCTAAGAGTTACCAGCCTTGCTGCGACCTCCGATGCCACTCATCTCCGGAACCCACTAGCCACATTCTGCTCTCCACCACCATCTCTAAAGAATCATCTCGTATAGGATAGGAAAGGGATTAAATGGCAGAATAGAGTCCTCTTTCTTCTCACTTCTTAAAGGCTGCCAGCGTGGGAATCTCAGGGTATATAGACTCTTCTGTTCAAACAGTCCTCCTGGAGACTTAGGAAAACAAATGTGACAATCCATGCCAGGAAAGCTGATTTCGAAGTTGTTTTTCTAGTTTTTCTTGCTTCTTTTTCCCTTTATTTTTGTTTTCTCCTCCACCCCCTTAACCTGGTAGCCCCTCTCCACGCCCCTTTCTCTAAATGGAATTTGCTACGACTTCGGTCTACTCAAGCAGAACACAGACGAAACTCTCATTTCCTGCTGGAGATAAGGGTCCAGAGATTCCTGTCAACACATGCAGTTGCATGATAGAATTTGAGGGGGGTGGGATGGTTCTTGTAGCTCATTAGCCTGCTATGCCTGTACCTTGAGTCAGCTGGGTTCTAATTTTCTCAGTTACAGCTTAAAATCTGAAGTGAAATAATGAGTGTGGGACTGAGAGGGGCCGAGAAGCAGGGTTAGTTTAGGAAGGTGAATCAGGTGGATTGCAATAACCAGGAATTAAGCATAACAACTATTATGTTCCAAAACCCAACCCTCCCAATTTAAACAAAAACAAGAACCGAAGTAATTCCTCCTATTTCATATCAGAGTAATGCAAATGAATCAAACAGAAGACGTTCCTAGGAATGTTGAATTTTATGGCCAATAAGGTTTACTTTAAAAATAAGCTACTTATGACAACCTCTAGGCTCTTCTAGTAGTTTGAGCTTTCCTGAATCCTTACAGTTGCCTCTGTGGGAATATAAAAAGCCATACATTGCCAGAGTATGGTTTTATTTTCTGCTAATATATATATATATATATGTTGATCATTCTGTCATACTGTTTGCTAGCGGCAGCTGAGCTTGGGAGACAACAGTTTCTCTCCCAGGTGCTAAACGTGTGGAGCTATCCATGGTTCTGAATCCGACTCTGCCGTTGGCAACTGTTCTCTGCCTGCAACCAGCCACAGAAAATAGAACTACAAACTCAGGCAACTGGCCCTGATGTATCCATACACACCACTCTTCTTCGCCAAATACCCAAAGAAATGCAGAGTGCTTTTTACATCCATTTCTAAAACAGATTTCTCCTCTCTTTAGCATCTTAACCCAAGTTCACCTTCCTTCCAAAATGCATCAAGGACTCCAGAAAAAACTGAAGAAGTTGCACATTATGTAGACTATAATTAAAGTTTCATGCATAAAGTTGTATTTTAATTAAGAGTTTATAGCATAATAATATAACGATAAGTTAGGCAAAGGTCAGATAACTAAACTCTTTTTTTTTTTTTTTTTTTTGGTACGGAGTTTCGCTCTTGTTACCCAGGCTGGAGTGCAATGGCGCGATCTTGGCTCACCGCAACCTCTGCCTCCTTGGGTTCAGGCAATTCTCCTGCCTCAACCTCCTGAGTAGCTGGGATTCCAGGCATGCGCCACCATGCCCAGCTAATGTTTTGTATTTTTAGTAGAGATGGGGTTTCACCATGTTGACCAGGATGGTCTCGATCTCTTGACCTCGAGATCCACCCGCCTCGGCCTCCCAAAGTGCTGGGATTACAGGCTTGAGCCACCGCGCCCGGCAGCAGATAACTAAACTTTTTTAAAACTACACATAAATTCAGTGAATTAATAGATTTAAAGAAATAGATATCTCCAAATACAGCAGGAAACACAAAGTTTATCTGTCACATGACAACATATATTGACATGCAGAAGGTAACTGTGTATAATGTCTCTAACTATAAGTCTGAAACTAACTTTCATAGGATATTGAATCTGGAAACCCTTGAATTCCACTTTTCTTCTTAGAAAAAGTCGCTTTATGCTTCCTGAAGTATTCTCTCTTTCTCTACAACTTTCAGAGCAGTCTCTGTTTGCTTGGGTTGGTTAATTAAATATGTGATGGTTAAAGCTCCACTGTCTGTTACAAGTGTGTGAGCTCTGTGGGCTTCACACATTTCCCAATTTCATTTAAGTCCAAGATTTGTTCTATTAAGGATTCATTGTAAGATCACAGAACATTTTATAACCTATGTATTGTAATTGATTGATCTGAGCAGAAGATTAAATGCATCCTGCTTCTAAATCACCCCAATAATCATGTTTATATATTATACATTGGAACAATGGAGACAAGTACATTAATCTATATTCGGCCAATAATAGAATCAAACCAGTGGATGGTAACCATGACTGCTTGCTGGCTGTAATATTATCTCCCCCACCCCACTCTGTATAAAAACTAATGTTACATTTTGTGTTGAGACCCAGTTTTATAAGTTTTTAGTACTTTTGGACCCTTTTGGAAGTCCAAATATAAAAAAAAAAAAACACATAAATTCAACTGTTGAAATCCTATAACGTACACAGCTTAACACTCAATACAATCTATTTATAGGCAAGGATGCAGAATAGATTGATATATTCTTAAAATTACCTAATTATCCATATTACTTTAAAATTAAGTCATTTACTATTTATACAAGTAAAATAATTTAAATGTCTACAACATAATAACAGCTCAATAAATTTTGCACACACAAAATTCTGCCTAAAACCTCACAGAATTAATAAAACTCTGCTTTAAAAAACTACATTAGAAATAATTCAAGCAGCATATGTTATTGCAACTGTCATTATAAGATGTTTAAGTGACAGCCATATATTGGTAGAGAATGAAAACTTTTTAATATTGAATTAAGTAATGTGATTTGTTTCACATTTTTAACAATGCTGCAGAATATAAATCAATGAAATTATGTAACATTTTCTCAATTTAGCAAAACTAGTTTAATAATCTGATGATTACAGTGCACAGTTTAATCTTTCTTATTTATTTAATTTTTTTCTGTAGACTGAGTCTAATTCTGTTGTCCAGGCTGGAGTGCAGTGGCATGATATAGCTCACTGCAGCCTCACACCCCATGGTGACTAAGTGATCCTCCCACCTCAGCTTCCTGAGCAGCTGAGACTATCGGTACAGACCACTGTGCCAGCTAATGTTGTAAAACCACTTTTTTTTTTGTAGAGATGGAATCCTGCTTTGTTGCATAGGCTGGTCTCAAACTCCTGGATTCAAATGATCTATCCCTTTTGGTCTCTCAAAATGCTGGGATTATAGGCATGAACCATTACACCAGGCCCAATGCAACATTTTAATGGTTATTTTAATGTAGCCTTGTGTGAGGATCCTGGGTATTATTCTACTAATTGGGTCACATTTAACTGAAGAAACATCTGACTTTAAAGTTACAAGTCAGGAAAATTTCAGCTTGCATTATTATAATACAGTCTTAGAATCTTAGAAGAGGCAGAGATTTTGAAGCCATTTATCAAAACCATAATATTTCTGAGCAGGATAGAATAGTGGCAAGTGTAAGAAAGAGACCTGGCTCTAACTTAAGATGACCATTTTTAGGAGAAAATGATGAAGTAGTTCAGCTATTTTGCTCATAGCTTTATTTCTAAAGTCAGTATAATAATTCCCAACATTCAATTTTATGTGAAGTAGGAAAATAGATATACAGTGATTAGGACAAAATCTGGCACACAGTGAATATTTAAGTAACAGTTATCCTCTAATGTAAATGTGCTACCTTTTCAAAATCAGTAAATTAATAATATTTTAATTAACATGTAGTATTTAACTAATTTAGATTAAGGGTGTCCTAGTGTTTTGTGGGGGAGGGAGGATGAGAATAAGGTATAAAACGGAGTTGGTGAATCATGCTCATCCAGGCAAAATGAACTAATACTAGTGACTAATACCAATGACTGTTCCTAATATATTATTATAATTACATGTAGTTAGAAAATTGAATATCACTTTAGAAAGTTTAGATACCTTTCTTATTACATACTTTACATATTAGTTTCAGTCCAATGGTTATTAGTCACCTTATCTCAGATACTATATGACAACATATTCCACATGTAAATTTTTATCCAAATGTGTAAGATTTGGCTAATCTTATTGATGATATGTGAATCT